GTGATAAACGACCTTCTCGATCACTTTTTAAAACAGGTTCAAAATGTCCCTCTGCGGTCTCATCCCTGCAGGAAGAAATAGGTCTGTCATTTCCTTAGAGAAATTAATAGTGTTAGTTGTCAAGGTAAGGTTATTTTAGGAATATTTAGTAGGTTTTCATCACTCACACAGTGTAATAAGCGGCTGAAGCCAAGAACAGCAGGAGCTGTAACTCATTTTCTGCTGAAGTTTCACACAAGAACCTGGATAGCGTTACCTTCATAGAACACAAACTCCAGCATCCTCTTCAGTGGACATAAAGCTGGAACTGTCTTTCCACAGTTACAGTGAAAGGATGAAAAGAATCTTTTTTTTTCCCCTACAGAAAATTGTAAATATTTTGTGGGGTTACTAATCAACTTCCAGAAACAATTCTCAATTTATTTTTCGTGGTGGTTACGGCACAGTCCCTTTATGAGCAGTGCAATATAACAGCATAAGCCTCCCGCCCCATCCCAGCAAATTCTGCTTTCATATAAGTGTTTGTGTGGCCTAATAAATCATGGTGTTACGTGCACATCTCTTGTAGTCAATAGGGCTCAAAATTCAAAGATGAGAATTTCATTTTCAAACAGCAATGTTTTAGTGCAATGTTCCAATAAATATTCCAAGAAATTTTAGAGAAACATCATTCATTATTCACATATGCAACCAAAAATTTTTAAGAGAGGGCTATGAAGTCCTGTGCTGTCTTCCCTGTGAGCAAAGAGTGGCTTTCTGCAGACATTAAACAAGACAAGGAAGAGATAATGCCTTTTATTAGACCGATTAGGATGGCTGGCAAAATGGGACAGGATTTCAAGTACATAAAATATCCTTCTTCTGTGGAAATGAATTCTTACTCTTCGAACAAAGCAAAAAATTCAAGGTCAGATACAGGTTGGAGTCAGTTGCTCAGAGTCGAATGAGATGCCTGTCACAGCATTTGTGAAGTAGAGGCCATTGTTTCCTGGAGACCAGAAGGGGCGTTAACAGGAGGCAACAGGGAGAGGGTAAGCTAGTTACACCCTTGGGGAAAAAGCAGAAGAGGCGGTTTATAGCCTGTGGGACATGGAAGGCCTGGTAAAGGAGAGGGAAGGGAAGATCCGCGCAGGAGCACCAGTATTGAGTCTGTGGGGTTGGGCACCCAGTACATCCCCCCCAAACCTCCCCAAGCCCACAGACCAGGCCAGCAGAGCCGGACATTCTGCTGCTTCATGCCCGTGCCCGCTGGAGCAGAAAGCAGCCGTCAGCGGGTAAAGTCAGGGACGTTCACAGGGCAGCAAGGCACGTCTTGCAAAGGCGGCTGTTCCAAGGGCTGAAGATTTGCTCAAGGAGCACGTGCTACAAGCAGGACGTTTCACAGCCTTTGCTTTAGGGAGTTTCTGCATGGTCCTGCACGGTCTGTGGTGTCTTGGACTGTAGGTTAGAACCCCGCATAAAGGCAGTGAAAGCATATTTGCTAAATATCTTCATCTTTACTGCTTTTAGGAACATTGGTATAAGTACACATCTACATTTAGACTTCCCTGGATTTTTTCTCTCTCGCTCTTACGGTCTTCCTGAACTATATGTCTCCCCACTGTCAGGGAATTCTCAGCTGTAAAAGAAATCCGCAGCAGCCGTGGTGCCCCATCCGCCCTTACACTGCTGTTCACTGTGGGCGATGCGACGAGGCCGGAGGCGTGGGGCAGCGCCCACACGGCTACAGCCAGTGCCAGCCCCGGGCTGTGCCTGGTGGCGCTCGGGCAGAGCAGCCTCCGCACGGTGCTGGCCCACGCTGACGGGGTGGGAGAACTGCAGCAGCACCACAGAGACCGAGGAGGTCTCTGTGCTGCCACCTCATCCGTTTGGGTGCCCGGCAGCTCTCAGGGCAGGAGACCTCTGCTGCTGCTGCTGCTGTGCTTGGCCAACGTGAACGCAGCGACGCCGGCAACAGAGTGTACACAGAACGTGCTTTGTGGTATTATTTATTTAGGAACTGTGAGTAACTACAGCCGTAGCGTTCTCATCTTTGCAATTCTGATGGTTTAACAAACTGGGAGAACATTAGCATATTTTTATTAAGGTACAAAATACACCCCGTTGTTGCCTAAAACATTTAAAGAAACGTGAGAAAAGCTCTGTATGCTCTAAATCAGATTCAAAACCTTTCTGTATAAGGAATTGTGGCAATACTGTGTTTAGTATAACAAGAGGTTTTTATCAATTGAAAAGGAAAAGACATGCTGGCAATCTGAACTTAGCAACAAAGAGTAAAGCAGTTAAAAACCACTGTGTCCTCCACGTTAGTGGAGCTCTGAATGTAGAAGAGCAAATCATATGAAACACATACACAACCAGGTAATATCAAACAACCTAAGGTCGATATTGTACACACCTGTATTAAAGTACACTGACTACTTAATGGTGAGGATTTAAGGTAGCGGGTTTTTTTAAAAGAGGTAACCTTTGAAACGCAAATGGTTGCACTTTACACACAAAGAGTGGAGAAGAATCACTTTTGGAATGATACATAGATATAAGACACACTGGTTTTGGATTATGCATATCACCTTGTGGCCTCTGATATTACCTCTGAACAAGAACAACCAAAAAAAAAGTGCCAATACTGTGAAAGGAAAGCAAAGTTACTAAGTCTGAGTGCATTAGCCATTTCTGAGAAAAAAACCCTGGGTTTTGGATTGGATTGGTTTGGTTGATTTGGTTTTTCGCATTTTTAAAAACACAACAGCCTTACTGGTGCAGGTTCAAGACAAAACAAGACAGTCAAGCTCATAAGGTAGAAACAGATCCTATATAGGTTAAGGTTCTTTGGAAACTGCTAAGTATAAAGGAGTTTGTAATCCAGGCTACTATCTTTTCGGCTACTCCAAAAATCTGTGGGAGTTTCCAGCTTATCATCAGTTGAAATCTGTTTTGCAATCGCCAAATAAATGCAAGTAAAACTTTAACTAAGCTGGGGTTCCATTCACACACGTGCACATAGACGTCACTGTTAGCGCAATAACCTGTTTTTTCACAGCAGCATCTCTATGAATCATTATTAGATTGACCAGAACCACAGAAAATATTCTCAGTCTTTGTGTTCTCAGTCTGTTTCTAAAGCAGGCAGCTGTAACTGCACCGAAGTGACAGGTTCTATAAGGGAAAGGTGACAAGCCTGATCAGCTGGTTAAAAGCAAGACCAGAAGTATCTCGGGAAACCACCTGGATGTTTAACTCCAGCCAGTTTTACGATGGCGCTAACCGCACTGAGAAAGGGCGGCAAATGTGTTTGAAGTTAGGATGGTGAAATCCTGTTCAAAACAAACGAAAAATGAACCATACCAACACACAAATGGCAACGCTGGCTGTGCCAGACCTTCCCTTATAGAAGATCCTGTTCAGGGAGCAGCCTGTTTCTTAGGACTGGAGAGATTCACTGCGTGTCTGGCAAAGGATTCCTTGTAAAGTAGATCTTGGGGAGCCAACTTAGCTGCAGTTTTGGCTGAGGAAAGTGGCGGTATAGAGCAATGAGCTCAGTAAACAGGCTGTTTTTCTTTAAGACATTCGTAATGTAACTGTAGACTTGGTTTCCGTACACTTGATTTTAAAAATAGACTGGGCAACTTGGTTGATGACTTGCTTAAAGTAAATCCAATCACGCTAACAACTTAAAATTGAATTAATGCCCATACATAAAGCAAACAGGTATCAACTGATCATGCTGAAAAAACAAGCCCCCAAAGACCTACGTATCACACAAGGTGCTTTTGATAACTTGGTTTTCTGAGCCTTATAAGGAGAGTCTTTAAATATATTTTTTTGTTTTTGTTTTTTTTCTTTGAGCCTTGTTTCATTCTTCCTCCTCCTCATCTTCATCTTCTCCTTCTTTTCCCATTGTTTCCACAAGGAGTTCTGCGGTGCACGTGGCTTCCCCAAGGCTGTTAACAGCTTTGCAGGTGTATTTGGCATCATCGTCCCCACATACTTCAGAAATAGTCAAAGAACAGTTCCCATCCTCGTCATAATCTATCTGGAAGTGACGGGACTCCTTGACAGGCTGATCATCTTTGTACCACATTACCTCAGGGTCAGGGTAGCCTGCAAGAGCGGAGAGAGAACAGCAGTTGCAATGAATGAGCATTAACTGATCTGCAACTACTTTGAGCTCTAGTTCCCTGTTTGTGTACGGACATGCCAATATGTTGATATATTAATATTTCATTGAATTCTATTCAAAATAGGTGTAGCTGATGTGAGTTTTTTTTACTTCACATTTACCCCAAACAACTTTATTATGAATAGCAAAACCCAGTAAGTTAGCACTGAGGTACTTGCTAGATTCCTCTTTCCACCCCTTCAGCAGTGACTGCAGACAGCTTTTGTGCGCCTCCGACACCAGCCAGCGAGGGACCCCTGACAGTGCGCTGGAGGCTCACCTTACGGTACAGCTTTTGTGGGAACACCACAGTCCCCAACACTGAGATTTAGAATTTCAAGGGTGAGGTGTTTGGGGCTACAACTACAATGTCATATCCTTCTCAGGTTGCTTTGTTGTGGCTATTCCGAGTCTTCCTCCTCCCACCCCCGCTCCTTACACACCAGCCTGTCCTGCACGGTGACCGGGGCACTCCCATGTCCTGTTTGTGTGCGTTAGAATAAGCGAGGGAGTCTAAGAAAAGCATTTTGATGAAGCATCTCAAGAGGAGTTTTGGAGCCTTTTGTGAAGCAAGTGGCTCTGCTGTACTCGAAGCGTCCGGAGCAGGGCTGTACGATACGTGCTGGAGAACAATCCCTTACACAGTTCTCTTGGCTGCTATAGCATATTGAAGGCTTGTTGTCTCGGCCAAGCTCTGGGCTGTGACAGGAGGATGGCTTCCCTTGGAGCAGAAATAAGGTGCGGGAATCCCTAATGCCCAACGGACGGCACAGCCACACGCTGGACAGTCTGGAACGCCAGCCGTGGTACCTCCGTCTTATTTTATTCCATGCGGTACATACGCACATACCCCTCACGCTGAGCATCCACCAGCAACAACAATCCATCCTCACACCTCCGCTGTGAGGTAGGAAAGACAGGCAGCGAAAGAGATGAGGAGCACAGAAACGAACAAGCAGAAGGTCAGTGAGGCAGTTTCTGAACCTCATTGTACGATTAGAAACTGTCGAACACATGCAGTACGGTCCCAACACTATACTTTTCGTTTAACAGCTCTTCCTAACTTCTCGTTTTCATCCACAGCTGCAACACAGGAGCTTCAGTCTCTTTGCAACAGACATGCTAGCGGTCTTGGCCTTCAGCCGGTTAGGCTGACCAAGCCCAAGCTCCTTAAGTGCCTTCTCATAAACTCATTCTTTCTATCTGCATATTCCAGTCTGAGTTTCCTTTCTTGAACTTGTAAGTTAAAAAAACCAAACGACCATACAGTATTATTACAGACTTTTGTAACCAGTGCAATGCTGTTATCATTGCTTCTCAGGCAAATACACTGTTAGGGACTTCTTTGCCTTTAATACAATGTATGTGTGGCTTAAACTTATCCTGAGATCACCTGAAACTTGTCTGTCAAGTGACAGCGACAAGTGACTTCCTACTTACTCTTGGTTTCTGGTCAGCAGTCTCTAAGAGAGTACTCTTGCAATTTATGGTACTACACTGCATCTTGTCTTTGCTGTTTCTACCCTCAGAAACATCTTACTGTTCCCACTTGCTATTCTGAATTAGTGATTCACACATTGACTCTTGGAGACTTCTATTCTATGCCAAGTACAGAACAAGCCCATGCAGCTCCAGATAATTTCTGTTATTGCAACACATTCATGCCGTGACATGCAGATACTGGTAAAGGAAAATGTCACCAACTCAACAATAATACAGAAAAAAAATTGGAAAAGTTAAACAACAGCACAATGCAGAAAGGTGGCAAAGAAGGAAAGAAAGAAACAGATACGCTAATTCAAAGTACCTTCAATTTTGCAGTCAAATCTAGCAGCACTTCCTTCCACAACCTCTATGTCAAGGATTGTTTTAGTAAAATATGGCTTTACATGGGGCTTTTCTTCAGCCACTTCTTCAAGGAAAGCATCTGGAGGAGAGCAAAGAGATAGTTAATTATTTTACAGGGCATGTTCTCAAAAGATGCATTTTAATTTTTAATTACCAGATGGTAATGAAAGCACCTGTTATATCATTTAATTCTGTAAGGCTAGTGGGACAGCGAGGACGTTAGCTGCTCAGTTTTGTGCCAATCTTTCGCAGCTGGATAAAGATTCAGGCCATAAATAGAATGAAATTAACATGCAGGCCGCCACACTACAAATCATCTTGATTTTCTGCTTGAATTTGTTTCTAACCGAACTTGGACTTTTGCTAGCCGGAGGGCTAGAGCAGTTCAACTTGTATCAGGCCCACAGTTATGTGGGTATGTCAGAAGGATTTTCAGAAGTGTCAAACATCTGCACCTCTGATTGTCGCACACCACAACCCCACATTTCAAGTGGGGATGCAGGGCAATAATGTAGACACTTTTTTTCCCCCTTAAATGCTCCTGTCTGAGGAGCAGGGTTAATGCAGAGCACGCGTCCTGGTTACAGCAAGCGTTAATGCTTGCTTGCTTGCTCGCTTGCATGGGAAGGCAATGCATCACTCTAATCTTTGTATAAACATGCATTCCCAAACTGATAGAAAGTGCAGCTGACAAATCTGCCTTAATTCTTTGGCTTTAAAAAGAGAAGCCTTTACTGCCCGTACTTATACTGGGGCATTTTGAGTCGCAGAACAGTATAAGAGCAATGAATTTTTCATAGATTTCTTTTAAAAAAATGATTAAAAGAGAGAGAGAGAAAGCAGGAACAACCAACTCTATGATTGGTCTCTAGCATTTTGCTAAAAGTTTTGGTAAGTGATTCAGAGAGGTAAAAATATGGTGCAGCAAAATTCCTTACCTTCGTTCTCTACTTTGTCTGCATTTATAGGGCTGGTAGGCGAGCTCCCAGAGGCCTTCCTCCCACTCATACCAGAAATCATTGCCATGGATGACAGTCTTCCTATTGCTCGGACAGCATGGCCCGTTTTCTAAGACATAACATAAAAGGCTTCTGATCAATCCAGTCCAACAGGCATGTGATTTTCTGTAACAAAATTGTGCTTCGTACAAATTATCTGGGATCTCTGCAAACCTCGCTGGAATTGTTGGACAAACTGCTTATATATAGCTCTGTTGTTTTAGGAGAGACAGAGCAGGCTGGTCTGAATTACCAAATTTAGTTGCAGATATAAACTTCCCCTGATGAACTCATACCTAAATGAATGTCTCTGTTAGCTGCGGATAAAAAGCACTCTGTGAGAGGAGGGCCAGCAAGAAAGCTATGTCCTGTTTAACTGGAACTTAACGCTGGTGGCGGACGGCGCTCTCAATAGCCATATGGGCTGGACGGAGTTTCATCCCGGATGAATAACCCGCTAATACGAAATGAATGAGAAAGCACCATCTGCACGCGAGGAGCAGACCTCTGACAGGCTCGAGAATCAACCACCAGGGTACTCAAATATGCTCAAACTACGTTCCTTCTAGTACGGACACTTGTATTTTTGTACAGCTTGCGTGAGCTCCAACGAAGCACATAGAGTAGAACATAAGAGGAAATATACGGTAGATTCACATAAATTAATATTTTGTAGGCTACTCAAAAGCTGGATCCAGGATTTCATACATCGGCTTCCCTAGCTATCAGAACGGCACAGATGGCCCTGCTACAACAGTTCCAGCATTAAGGAAAGAGAAGCTATGAAGACCAAACACATCAAAGAAAATTATTAAACCAATCTGACCAAATCCATGAGGAGCTTGGTGCTTCAACAGGGCAGAACTAGGCAGAACTACTGGCTCAGGAGAATGAAACCTCCACAAAATGAGGTATCTTCAGAGAGGCCAGGTGGTTAAGCTTTTCCCTAACTGATCCAGTTTGTTAGGGATAACATCGTCCCCCAGCCCTCAGTGGCATGGGCAGGGCAAGGAGGAGAGAGGGTCATAGTCCCAAAAGAATGGGAAAAACTATACTTGAACTCGTGCGCCTTTTAGCAGCCTGAAATGGCACCACCACATGTTAAATATATGCAGCCGTGCACCCTCCTACTGCTCGCCCATAGAACCCCAACCTGCTTTACTGCATTTATGCTCTGGCCACACCAGAGTTTTCACCAGCAGCAGAAACCACCCAGCATGACAAGTTTTTCAGAATCATAAACATTAGCAATAAAGACACTTATTTGGCTAACTAGCCCAATTCTATGTCCTCTTCGTTACCTGCCATTTTCTTCTGGCCATATATTTCTTCATCCTATCTTTGGAGAGTTTTTTGGCTTCCATGGTTTTGGTGTCTTTTTGCAGCCAAGGATGCTGAAGACACTGGGTACAATTTAAGCGACTCCTGTTTTTATATAAAAAGACTAGTCAGTGTTGCCCTGAACGATGGTCGAACCTACCTGCTTTAACATTATTTTGCGCTCTCTTTTCTGAGAGATGATTTTTCTATTTCCTAAGTTTAGCAACATAGATCACATGGCACTGCTTTCCCAGCTACGCTTAACTTCTTAAACTCACTTCCACAATTTCTGTAGGTTTTTTTTTGAGAAAACTGTGCATTTTTAAGTGTTAATTAAACATTATAAAACAAAACATGAAGAGCCATATGTTGTAGGCACGGAACACGTACAGCAGAGCCACAATGGCAATGATTCAGCTGCCTCATGCTGGCAGAACCCTGTCCCAGCTCTCCTTTCCTTCACTTATAGGGATTTCTCCTTTCCCACGCTTCATCCCCCCTTCCCTCCCACACGGAACATTTAACAAAACGGAGATGTCCAGTCTCTAATCAAGCCACACCCATTCTTCCCTTTGTTCATGGTACACAGACAAATAACCCTCTGTTCTCCATCCATCCGACTGCAAACGCACTGGAAGACGCACGCTTTCTGTCCTCGGTTTGTTCAGAGTCTGCTGTAAACAGGGCTTCCAACTCTGATTTTTTTTTTTTCTTGCCCAATTACGAGATTTATAGGAAAGCTGCCTACCCAGAGGTACTGCGCTTAACAGCAACACATGGAAATAAATCTGGCAAAATCGCAACCCATTCAGATCAAGACAGAACGTGTCATGCAGGAATCTGTGTCAGCAACAGTGAAGATAAGAGTAGCCACACAAAACCTCAGGGTGCATCTTGCCCAAGGGAAGGGAGGAGCAGGACAAGCAGGCGATTAAAAGGAAGCGCTCGGTTCAGACCCTGCACCCCGCGTGTAAAATAAGCGAGAGCTGCAGGCAGAGGCAGACGGGCACACAGGGCTCCTTATAAAGTATCGCCAGAGGTGCCTGCGCCGACGGGAGATTCACAGTGGGGAAACAAGAATGGCAAGTTCAGCTGAACGCAAACACAGAAAGTGTATCAAGTCCAACAGCTTTACTTCATATCTTTCTTTAGCAGATTGCTGATAAAGTCCTTGGCATCATCAGAGATTTCATCAAAAGCCTCATCATCGAAGTCCCACGTTGCTGAGGTCACATTGGCTAGGGTTTCGTTGTCGTTGTCTCCCATGAAAGGAGAAAGTCCGCTGACCCTGGGGATGGAATAGACAGATAGACGCAAAACAAACAGTGTCAATTTGCAAATTATCAGAGGAGCAAATTAAAACCGTGTGTGCCACCTCCTTTGCTCAGCAGGTCTTCATCAGTAAATGTTCCCTTTTAAAAAACCAACAAAAAAGGACTCAGAGCTAACTGCAGATAGTCCTAGGGGAAGGAAACTCGAATTTTGACTGCAAAACTGAAAGGAAAATTTTTGCTGTTTCCTTCTCTCTTCCCAAGACATTCTTGAGGAGAGAACTAGAATTAGGTGTAAGTGGAGCAGACTAGTTTGTTAAATGACTTGTCTAGTTCTGCATAAATAATACTGCCATTTTCACACCAAATTCAGCTGAAGAGCTCCTTTTTGTTGTTTTGGGTTTTTTTTCCCCTGGTGCTTTCAGAGTGACTTTGCTGCCTTTACTCAAACCAAGTTTTTTTGTACATTTTATTCCATTTCCTCCTGCAGAGAGAGCCCAAGAAGAAAGATGCATAATGAAATAACGAAATCCACCGAGCTGTTTTGTAAACAAGCCCACCCCGAATTACATAGCCAGATAAAACAGTGCTACATCACTGCAGGCTGCACAGTTATGCAGATGCATCCAAAAGCAGTTCGGTCTTTATGTTCTCAGTCAGCCATGATGATGCATGAAATGGAAATAATACTCTTTTATAACCCAAGTTGAGCTTCCAAGGCTTTTTACTCAATATAACTGATAAACTGCCAGGGAAAGGCAATTACAGAACATCATGGTGTCATTTTTGCAGAGCATCTTTCTCCAGTTGAGCACTGTCCTTTATTATACTGTACCTTTGTGCATCCAGATGCTTTTGATTCCTGTATATCACCCTTTCAGTGAAAATTTTCAGGTGAAACGTTGCTTATTCCTTAGAACTACAAGTTATTCAATTTTCCAGGTCTTCTTCCTGGCATGTGATTTACATAATAACCTATTCTTCATGAAATTTTACAGACTTTATTTGCTTTCTCTGTACACTCAAGTTAACCATTTACAACAACCCATTACATTTCAACAGTAGTACATTTTTTGTTAAATATGGAAAAATATGTGGAACTTACGAAGGTTCTGAAAATACTATATGGATATAATACTATGTGAATACCATGATGCTACTGAATATCACAGAACAGATTGGTAGAAAAAGAGATCGGGATCAAATAAAACTAGATTCATAATATTAGTATAATCCCCTCCTCCAAAGTTATTTTGCTACTGTTTTGTTACTAATTACATTCAAAATCTGATTTGGAAGTTGTTCCTAAGGGTTTTACTTCTATAAGCAAAGCAGAAACAGACACTCTTTGAAGCCTCAGACAGAGCAGATACTAAATCTTTTACCATTTCTGGAAGTTGTGTGCAGTACAGCAGAGTCTAGAATCTTACGTGTGTACTTCAGAAATTTGCTAGTAATAATACATGAGATGAAGATAAAAGGTTTGTTTCTTCTCAGGCAGAGAGAGGTAAATCAGAACAGAAGGTATCTGTTGTCTTTCATTATATGTCATTATATGGGGTGCATTCAAATGCAGCAGCGAAGCATGACTTTATAAATGTGTACGGTGGCATAAAGCCATTTATGAATGTATAACAGGCGAGAGTTACAGAAAGCTGAAAGATTAACGGACCAAAAAATGCTCACGTAAACCAGCTTTACCCCAACTGTCCTCTGTCTGACACTTACTTTACCGCAAGAGACAAGGTTTTTGCCTGATAGCGCTGGGAGCTGGTGTAGCTGCGGCGCAATGAGAGACTCTGTTCTGCCCTCACACACATCAGCCCTCACGGTCAGGTAAGTTGTGGAAGGAAAACCTCTGTCCTGGAACCCACACAGCACTCCTGCAGGGCCTTCAACCCACCTCCGCTCCGATATTGAAGCATTTTCCTATTTATGACAATGTCATCGTTCTCTATAATGTTTCAGGAAGGGAAAAAATCTCATCCAGACTGCAGTTCTAAGTTTCGGGTTCCAGATACTGATTGCTAAGCTGTCTCTTTTTTTGACTATGTAGCAGGTACAATAATCTCTCAGCCAATTCAGCGGCTGCTGAAAAGGCTCACATTTTATACAAACAAAGGGGCTGTGCAGCAGCTCGTTAGTTCACTGTCAGTATGGGGGATGCACGTCTTGCCTTCATCCAGTTAAGCTTCCAGAGGACACATTTGGGCAGCCAGAGCAGTAACAATCCCATTTCCCTTCAATACTTGATCGAAGTATGGCAAAGGTGACCTCTGCATAGTATTACCACAAATAGTACTGTGCAGCTCTTGTGCTACGTTAGATAATATTTTGGCCTATTTCCAGAGGTTCAAGCTGCAGCACCGAGAGATCGTTCCCACGCTAAAGGACTGCTGCAGGTGTAGGGACATTGCTTCACATGGAAACACCACTGCCCCACACTGCCGTAAGAGGCAGGGCTTGTGCTTGGGAAGACATCTAGCTTTCTGTTACTAGAGGGATGCTGCGTGTCACACAGCTTTTGAGGGATGAGGATAAATAGAAGGAGATTAGAGAGGAAAAAAACCCCTTTGGTTGGTTTGGTCGGCCTTTTTTTTTTTTTCTAAGAATTGCATGACAGAATTATCTGATAAAATCTTAAATGCTGAGGTAGGATTGCCCATCCCATGCATCGGGCAAATTACCAGATGGGTATTGGTTAAGCCTCCACTCGCTTTATCATTTCCAAACACCAGTGTAACAGACCCATTCAAACGTTTCAATGAACCTATTTTTGTATTTCTGAACGTGCTGTTGCAAATTTATAAGGCTAAAATAATGTCCTCTCTCTACCACAGTTTTACACTGTGAATTAGCTGCCTTGTCATGGAAAGGCTTGTAGAGAGAACTAGGTCCTTGTCTATAGTCAGAAGACAAAATCCAGCAACCAGTGCAGATTATAACCAGAAATTCTTATCTTTAGCACAGATTTCACTGACCTTAGTCTTGGTTGTCCATTTCTTAATAGCCATTTAAAGTAATAATGGCCCAGCAACTCTTTTGACAGATTATGGAAACAATTTCTTTTTGGAATGCTGAAGCTAAGTGATAAAGAGGAGCTACCACTCCAGAACATTAATACTGAGCTTACACTGCAAAGTTACTATTAGACAAGCAGCAAGTTGTTTACTGAAAACATTTTTCCAGCTACTTAACCAGGCATCGTCCTGGCATGTTAAGAACCATTTGTTTAGAAAATCTTACAGAGTTTCCACTTCTAAATAAAGAAGAAAGATATTTTATCCTCTAGAAGTTCCGTAACATTTATTGGTCTGTTCTAACAAAACTCTGAGTGCAGATTCAGAGACACGAAGATCAAAAGGGTCCAGTGTGGTTGCCGGTCTCACTGCCCGTGTAACAAACCCCACAGCATTTCACTTGGAAATCTTTGCGTTAAGACTGCATCTCACCCAGGAAAGACGAGTTTGCTGCAGGTCTCAAAAAGTCAGACCCTGAGCATTCCTCTGCAAACAGTGCTTGCAACAGCAACTGATTTGGGCTGATGACACTGAGCTCCTCCTTACAGTCTGCACGGTATTAGCAGTGAAAAAAGTAACAGGTCTCAGCGTGAAGAGCACTATCTGCTGCTGACAAACCCGTGTGGGTCACGTCAATAGGCACAGGGTAATGCCTGCACCCCGGAGCTCGTGTAGCAATTTAGTTCTTCTGCAAGTGAAATAGAAGAAATAAATAGTCTCAGGCTACTTTGTGGGGCACATGCATCCACTGGCCAAAACCACCTTGTCCTTAGCTGAGCGCTGGCTGACTCCCGCCCTGGTCATCTCCAGGAAGAAACTGAACCCACGTAACGGCAGACAGGTCGTTGCTGGAGCAGGGCTGCTGCTCTGTTCTCGTCCTTGTTTGACGTGCCCAGTGGATTAATGAGGAATCACAACTTGCCGGTGCCACTGAACAAATAATTCATTTTCTTTTGGGCAGTACAGTCATTATATTTAAGCCCTCCTAACTTGCATTATTGAAAGAACAAGGAGTGCTCTCTCACCGTTCTATTAACAAAGCTTAAATTTTTAACATGACATGGAGCCAAGCAGCGTGAGTGTCTTGCCTTATCAAAGTCCCAAGTCAGCACTCCCAAAAGATGAATGATGCCAAAAGGTCTCTCAACCAACCCAAACTGCCAAACAAGGGAGGAATAACAGCAGTGATGAGTAACACAACAGATAAGAAGGAATGGGGATGTTTGAAGAATCAGGGTGCATGTTATTAGGAAGGCACTGAAGGAAAAGAGTATACAGCAATATCAAATATGATATTAAAAACCAGCCTAAAATACAGCACATTGAAAAGTTACTAATTGACAGAGATCAGTTACTCTGAAAAGATACACGCTGCCCAGCACTGATAAAGCAAGAAGAGCTAATGGTAAGTAAGCAGAGTTTTGAATCAGCCACAGCAAATTCCTCACTTAAACTAGCCAGATTCTATGGTGACAGAAGAAGGGCTATCCGCTTTCAATGTACGTACATGCAGCGCTGAAAGCTTTGACTGAAATTTGGTTTGAAATAAAAATAGAATTTAGAAATTGTTTCAGGTTACTAAATATTGGGAATGCCGGCTATCCAAATGGGTCATCAGAAAATAACTAGAAGTAGAAAAACAACAAACAAATTCAGCAATGCTCAGAAGACCAAATGGGACAGAAACAGCTGGAAAGAATTCAGAAGGTTTAACGTTCATTAGATAAAGATTATTACGAATGCAAAAAGAAACACTGAAGTAGACATAAATGGAGATGATATACACAAGCTGTAATATTTGTGGCATGTTACTGCAAAGGCAATAGATCAACTGAAGTACATGGGACAGTACTGTGATGCAGAACAGGACAGAGAACAAGATAAAAGTGGAAGATAAAAAACATGAGGTGGAGAATACAAATGGGGAAGTTTAAGGAAGAGCGAAGACTGATGAACAGACAGGACTGAATAAGTTATCGAGAAAGATTAAAAGGATTTAATGTGTAGCTTAGAAATGTGGAAAGGGAACCCATGAGCTGTAGGATGGAATTCAGTCAGTCATGCCATAAGGAAGACAGATGCAGCGTCCCAACAGAGAGTGCGGTATCTGTACTCACGCCCGCAGAGCAGAAGGCTAGGAGAGAGGGTTTGCTGCAGGGTTCTGGAGGAGCACTGTCACCCTGTTTCCTGCTTGAGATTACATCCCACCTGTTTAGTCTTCTGCACAGAGATCTCTTTAGTAGCTCTTGGCTAAACCTGGTTTGTATTCGTCGCTGTGCCGGACACAATGAAACGCAGTCTCTTTCTAGGTGGGTTACAAGTCTCCCAACACCCTAGGATCCTGCCTTGGAAGAGGTGTTATGTCAAGTCGTGCAATAGCAGGGTCCCTGCTGCTTCGCTTAGGACCTACGAGGGACACAGCAGCTTTGGGCCACCGGCTGCCTGTAGCAGACCTGCCCTTAAGTCCAGTGCTGCTGCAGTGCTCACCTCTTCCTTCATGGCCCCACTCAGCATGTCAGGGGGAGAGGGGAGGCAAGTGCTGAGTTACAAGCACAGCGATGGCATGTGAGACAGACACCAAATGAGTGAGTCTTAACGCTTCGTGCATGAGATCTGGCGGTTCTGAGCTTGTAATCCAAACAGGAAAGCAGAGCTACCACTAGAGAGATTCAGCTCTCAATGACTTTTATTTGCATTCTGTAACGGTGATGTGATGGTCCGTTTTGGACAATGGCTCATTGTTGTGAGTCTGCAAAAACAGCTGGGCTTTAAGGAAGCAAAGAGAGATTGGGAGCCTGTCACTCTGAGGTGGAGAGGGGAAGTCTAAGCGATGACTCACAGGTTTTCCCTAACTTCTATTACTTTATTCTTATCACAAGAAAGACAAAAGCTGATTATAATCATTACTGCGGCAATAGCTATGCATCAAAAAGATTTTTGTTGCATTTGGGCAATGTAATTTTCCACTCAGGAGGTGTTAAATGAGCTTAAAGACACCTTAGCAAACAAGTCATTTCATAATGCATTTCACAAGGTGTATCAAGTCATCTGAACCACGCCAATCCCACCCGCTGAATGTTACAGCACCCAAATATCTCGCTTCTGGTGGCACAGAGAAATGAGAGAGAAGCAGTTCTGCAGCTGCTGGCAGGCTGGTCTTTGGCAAGACATTTCACCTTTTCTCTACCTATTTCACCTCCTCCCTTTGCCTTGTCTACTTAGATGATATCGGTGCTCTCCCGCACGTACCGTATTGGGGCAGCACCCCAGTGTGTGCCTTCGGAGCACACGCACCGGCTATCACCGATTTTTGCCTCAGTTGTCTGACATGTCACTGCTTATGCTGTAAACACATGAAAACTCATCATATACTCTGATAACAAATGACAGAAAAAGACGTTAAACTCCCCAAATGTGCGTGTAAGACTGTGGTTGGTGTTTTGTTCCTTCACGTGTAAGAGGCCTCTAGGGGGCAATGCAGCATTGATGGAACTGTTGGGTTTTCCAT